CAGGTTGGACTGAACGCGACAATAGGGCGAGTCTTCGAGCGTAGTTGACAAATGTTGCAAGAGCGTACAAAGTATGCGATCTGGTCGAACATATTTGGCCAGAAAAAGCGCTCCGATAAGGTCTTGTATGTTGCATCCCGGCCTCGATGTCCCACGTCGTTGTGAGCTTCTGCAATCAAAGCTGAATGGCGGTCAATGTCCATGATAACTAAATGAGGGAGCTTTCCTTTAGATTCAATTTTCCAGAGACGATCCCCATCGTGAAGGAAGAAATTCTTTGTTCGTTGAATGAAGGTTTTGCGTTCCACAGGGTCTTCACAACAGCTTGGCATAACGTCCGTCTTGAGATAGGTAATGATTTCTTGCCACATTTCTGGTGAGTCCTTGTCTTTGACACCAAAAGCATGTACGGTGCAAGATACGGCGATTGAGAGAGGTACATCCTCGTAGTTGACTCTGTTATCGGTCCGAAGTGATGGGTCCGGAATACCTGGTAGAGAAGACTGATCAGTAATCGATGGTCGAGGCGCACCTTGTCGTAAGGAGGACATATAACAGCGCCTATAATGGCATAACTCCACGTCAAAAACCTCGTTTCCTAAGGAACACGTCGCTACAAAGGGCATACAAACTTTGCAGTTCATCAACGAAGCAGATGAAAGGGAAGGGGAGTCTAATAAAGCTGCGCCCATAAACTTATCCAAATATTCTTCTGCATCTTCATCTTCTGTATCCTCAGGAGTGCGTCTTCGCCGAGAAAGTCCATCAACGCCTGCATGAGATTGGGCCGGGACGTGATTCATTACATAGTCGAAGAGCGCAATATACAAGATCCATCGCGTCATGGGAGCATTTGGAAGGTCCGGTTGCTTCACCATCTCGATTAAAAACTTCGCGTCGATGTCGATTCGGAAGTGGATCCCCCAGATTCGGTGTCGAAGGTCCTTTACCGCACGAAATACTCCATAAAGTTCTAATTTTGCCATTTGGTATAGAATCCAACCAGTACCATTTTGACAAGAATCGACAGCGACGATAACGAGGCCATGATCGGAATGCTGAGGTGATGGGTCGAGATGCGTAAGAAGCTTCGCCGCATCATAATCTAGCTTGATAAGGACAGGTGTGGTAGAGACGAGGAGCTTGAGCTCATTTTGAGCGGCTTCTGCTTCTTTGGAAAAGAAGAACTGTCTTTGGACTGCAATTTTAGTGAGGAGCGTCAGCGGTTTTGCGATCAGAGAAAATCCACGTATCCATTTTCTACCAACGCCTGCCGTTCCAAGAAACAACCGAACATCGGTGACACTCGTTAACGGTCCCCAGTTCAAAATCTTGGTTACCAAACCGTGTTCGAGGTGCCAACCTTCTTTCGAAACAATCGTACCGACAATATGTAAGCGAGGGGTGGCGAGTACCAGCTTCTTTCCCAAAGCCGTGATGCCTGCTTGAATAAAGCGCGTCAGAAATCTGTCAAGGGTTGTGGCATACTCGTAAACATAGCGTCTGATGCCAGGGGCGATCTCTTCATCGTTGTAGGTTGATGTAGGCCCTTTTAATCCCACGTCATCGACAAATACATTCCCGTTCTTGGCAATCTCTTCTTGTAGCATATGAGTTGTGCAACGTTGGAACTCCGGTAACGAATTGGTAGCGCCTTGAGGCAAAACACAAGAACGAAGGGGTCCTATCAAACAACTAAAAGTCGTAAGTGGTCGAGAGGTAATCGCTAGCTTCCGCCCATCGTATCCTGAAAACAAATCTGCAAGTCCGTAGATGACATGGCCAACGAAACTTTCTGCAAAATCATCAGTTCTTGGAGGTAAGCCGGCATCACGCACCGTTACTCTGTTAAGCTCTTGAACATCGGCCACCAGACGGATACCTCCTTTGGGCTTGGCAACAGCAAAGATTCTCGAGCGATAAGATGCCGTAGAATACTCATACTTTCCTGCGGCCTTTTGCTCAAGAAGCATTTGACGGACGGTGTCTTCAATGGATTTCGGTAAGCGAA